GATACTTGCTTCTATTATACTTTACAGGTGTGGTAATCAGAGCCAAAGAGAAGGAGGTGATGGGGTAAAAATCCCCAGGCCCAGACATCATTCCACAATTTGATTTTTACGCTCTAATTAATCATAGAAGGACGGTTTAAATTTTTTTCCGAGTCCGGCGATGTGTCACGACGCTCCTGGTGGTAATAAATGATAATGAATATCTCAAAGTGAATATTTTAGAGCAGTGTTCCGCAACCTTTATCTACTTGCGGCACACCCATGACTCAACATAGCACACCAAAATGTTATTCCCCAAAACCGTATGATATGATACTATTAATAGAATTACGTAATTTCACTAACCTATTATTATTGTTGTTATGTTTTGTGAGTTATACTCGGTTCACACCGGTGGCTGTGTACTATGCCGGACAGAGTCAAGGCATAGCAACCAAAACAAAACTAAAATTAAATAAGTGTGTCAGTGTGTGTGTCTGTATTCAGGAATTTCCTAACAATGTGGCATGTATTCAATATAGTGGCCTTCTGTAGTGTGATGTATGTATTTCTACTCAATTGTAATGTTCCCAGGCTTTTGTGTAGTGTGTGTGGTATCTCATCTGTACAGGAGAGAACGACAGGTACAATAAGCACCCTATCCATCCTCCACAGATGCCTTATTTCCTGGGCGAGTTCTGTGTACTTGCTAATTTTTTCAGTGCATGTGTTTTGTACATTGTGAGTGTTTGGAATGGCTATGTCTATAATGTATGTGATTTTATTGTGTTTGTCAATGAGTGTGATGTCTGGTCTGTTGTGGTAAATTGTTTTATCTGTGATTATGGCTCTGTCGTAGTACATTTTGTGCGTGTTGTTTTCCAATACTGTCTGTGGAATATACTTGTAGTATGGTTCGTGGATGTCTGCCAATTTGTGTTTCTTTGCAAGCTCTTGGTGTATTATATTTGCTACTTGATTGTGTCTATGTAAGTAATCTGTCTGTGCCAAGAGCTTGCAACCAGAAGTGATGTGTTGTATAGTTTCTGGCATGATGTGACATTTTCTGCATGTGTCATTTGTGAGTGTTGTATCTTTGAGTATGTGTTTTCTGTAGTTTTTAGTATTTATGACCTGATCCTGTATGGCAATCATGAATCCTTCCGTCTCCCCAAAGAGGCATCCCCGATCTAACCAGCTGTTTGACGCAGTTTTGTCAACAAAATCCTGGGCCAGGTCGTAAGGATGCCTGCCATGGAGAGCCTTTTGAGCCCATGATTGCTTAATGTTGTCTATGCTTTTTATATGTTGTGTCATGTCTGTATGTTGTGAGTGTAAGTTTAATGGTGTGTTATTTGAGTCTGCTAGAGTTACTGCTTTATGTAACTGTGATGTTTCTTGTTTCTTGTAGAAAAACTCTCGCAGTGACTGTATTTGTTTGTAGTGAAGGTTAACTATGTCAATCAGGCCACGTCCGCCTTCTTTACGTGGAAGGGTTAATCTTTCTGTGGCGGATTTAGGATGATGTTGTTTATGCTTAGTAAGTGTTGTTCTTGTTTTCCTTTGGAGTTGCTCGAGATCTGTGTGAGTCCAATGTATAACTCCAAAAGAGTATGTGAGTACTGGGATGACATATGTGTTTATTGCTTTAACTGTGTGTTTTGCATTTAACTGTGTTCTAAGTATAGCGTTTAACCTACTTTGGTATTCTTTAATTAATCGTTGCTTTATTTGTGTATGTTCTGTTAGTTTGGCCTGTTGGAATCCTAAGTACTTGTAGAACTCGCCCTCTTCCATGGATTCAATAACGTCTCCATTTCCAAGTGCAAAATCTTCTTTCTTCAGGATTCCTTTTTCTATGTGAAGTTTTTTGCATTTGTCTAGGCCAAACTCCATTTGTATGTCCTTAGTGTATGAATGTGTGATTTGTAGGAGTTGATGAAGTTGTTTTTGTGTGGATGCATAAAGTTTTATGTCGTCCATGTACATGAGATGTGAGAGTGTAAACTGTGTTGTTTTTTCGTGTCTGATATTGTAGCCGTATTGCGTGTTGTTTAACATGTTGGATAATGGATTCAGGGCTAGGCAGAACCAGAGAGGACTCAAGGAATCTCCTTGAAAAATTCCTCGCCTAATGAATATTTCGTTTGTTTGTATGGAAGTGTTACTAACCCTGAGATGTAGTGTTGTTCTCCAGTGCTGCATAGTGTTTTCGAAGAATGCAATGAGTGATGGATGTATTTTGTACATGTGTAGAATATGTAGCAGCCAACTGTGTGGAACACTGTCGAATGCTTTTCTGTAGTCTATATATGCCATGTGTATGTTTCTGTGTTGTTTGTGTGCTTGCCGTAGAATGACTGAATCTATGAGTAACTGTTCTTTGCATCCCCTGTGATTTCTACGGCAACCTTTTTGTTGTTCTGTAAGAATGTCGTGTTCTTCAACATGTTTGTATATTTTGTTTGTGATACAGGATGTCAATAATTTGTAGAGTGTTGGAAGACATGTAATTGGTCTGTATTGTGTGGGGTCTGTGGTTTTGTTGTTTTTAGGTTTCATGTAGGTGATGCCCTGAGTAAGAAATTTTGGCATGTCTTGTGGATTGATGATGATGTGTGTTAGATGTTTAGCTAGTTCCTGGTGCAGTGATGTAAACTTTTTGTACCAGAAATTGTGAATGTTGTCTACACCAGGTGTCTTCCAGTTGTGTGTTCTGTTAACAGCGTAGCGAATGTCGTGTATGTTTATTTCAGCACAGGGCATAGTTGGTATGTTGTGCAAGTTTCTGTTCTCCTCCTCGATCCAGCCTGCATCAGCATTGTGTGTAACAGCATTGGACCAAAGAGAAGACCAATAAGTTGTGAGTTCTTCTTCTGTTGGTGTGCCACTGTGCTGTGTATCAGTGTTTGTTTTGGTACTGATTTGTCTGTAGAAAAGTTTTTCATTGTTTGTGAATAATTTATTTTGTTGTTTTCGTAGTGTACATGTTTTGTATCGTTTGAGTCTACGTGCTTTGGCTGCGAGTTTTTGTTTTAGTGTATCGATGTATTCTGTAATGTGTGTGTTGTGATGTTCATGTTTTGTGTGTGTTTTGATTTTCTTGAAAATGTTTTTGAGTTGTTTCTTTAATTTGGGTGTTATGTTGTTTTTAGTGTATTGTGTCAGCCTGCCTAATTGCTGTCTAATGTCATTTATTTGTGTTTCTATTCTTCTCTGCCAGGCAGGCTTGTGATAGAATTGTGTTTTGTGTGTGTCTGTCTGTGAGTGTATTTTCAGTCCATGGTGTGTTACTACTGTGACTGCCCCAGCATAAACTAATGTATGAATGTCTGAGAGTGTAGAAATTGAATGAATGTAGTTTGGTAGTAAGTGAGTGTTTACATAATTTAGTGTTTTTCCTACTACCTTTGACGTGTTGATTTTCGGTATTCGTGGTCTTTGTGTGGGATCTGTACCTGTATATTTAGTGAGTGTTTCCTGAAATATAAGTGAGAGTGTATTAACTAATTCTATGTCTACGTTATCAGTGATGGATGGGGAAGTGCCTGCAGTATCATTAGTGGTACTTGTTGTGTGTGTGCTGTAATCAGTGCTTGTTGCTGGATTATCCTGACAGGTTACGTGATCTTCATTAATGTTAAATGTTTCTGTCTGTTGATGTATTTGATCAGCAACCTGTTGTTTGATAAGTTCAAGTGTTGTTTGTGGGATAAGGTTGTTGTGTATAATTGTTCTTTTTTGATCAACAACCCTTTGTTCGGTGACAGTGAGGTGAGGATATTGTTGTGTGAATCTATGGTGTAGTTGTTGTCTGTATGCTGTCATGTTTGTTTCGAGTCTTGTGATGGTGTAGTAAGTGCGGATGATAAACTCGTTCATTTCTGTTGTCCATTTCATCCGTTGGCGTGGTTTTCCAGCCTTTGTGGTCTGTGGATGCATTGCCACAGAAACACCAAGGCTAGGTTGATTCCTCACATCTGTTGAGGGCATTGCAGTAGCCATGCTTGGGCCGGCGCTGCTTTCGCCACCGGTAACCAAGGGAGACTGTGGCCTATTTTTCGAACGTGAGTCTCTGCCTAACCCACGAACGCGGACCTTGTTAACCCGGGCGATTTCCGAGCCGGTATCACACTTTGATCTGGTTACTACCATAATAATTATCTCCACAGAATGTGGGTGTGGTCACTCCTAGCTTCATTTCTCCCCATAGACCTTACTGGCATGGGTGTCCCTACTAGGAGCTTGTGCTCCAGCCTGCATTGCTCTATGGTTCAGTGAAATTACTGGGCTCTCCCACCACGACCAGGTGGTGACCACGGAAGAGTTATTATTATTATTATTATTATTAAACAGACATCAACATCTGTGAGCTAATTTATTTTACATATAATTTCTTAGAATACATAAAAATGCGTGGCTTGTAATAAAGAATAAACAAACATCATCTTATTTCATCAGTGCTGCGGCATAGAATGAAATATAAGCTTAAGAAACACAACAACTGTGATAAAAATATATAAGTAAATAAAACTTGAAATGAACAGAATATGTAAAAGTTCAGGTCACACCTTTCACTATGTGACGGCATACCGGTTGCGGAACACTGTTTTAGAGAATATTCACTTTGTTTACTAAGCAAGTTCACTTTTGGAGAACAAAGTTCGCGAAAAGTGGTAAAAACAGCATTTCGTGTGACCATCGGTGACTAATCACGTGCGCTGAGGACGCTTTGTCAACCATGGGTTACTTTTACAGCATACTATGTCCATCGCCGTGTCGGAATGCCTGTCGTGTTAAAATGATGTGAAGGATGCATATTGGAAAAAATAAAAGGAAAAAATAGGGGGAGCATCGGCTTGTAAAACAAATTGATTCTGACACGCCGATATATCGGTGGTGGCTCGATTTCAGTTATCATCGCTAGTTAAAATATAATGTATAACCTTTGTTAACCTTTCCAGCGAGGAACAAGTAATAATAAAAAGTTAAAGCTTACCACTTTGAAAAGATCGGAATTGAATATGGGTAATCTAGGCACGAGGGCTTGATATCATACCTGGATTGCCACAAGTGCTCTCGCACTTGTGGCAATCCAGGATTTCAGGATCTAGTTCTGGGCAATCTAGTTCCAGCAAAGGATTTCAACTGAGATTGAGACGACTGTTTCCGTGAGATTCTGGTCTGCATGAAAATTGCTAGATACCGTAAAGAACTTGCGACTGCCACTATGTATCTTCAACTAGGAGAGATGTCAGTGTATGAATCGATTCGTAAACTTTTGTTTTTTTTTTTTTTATATTCTAATTTAATATGCTACTTTCTGCCTTTCAACTTTCGATCGACCTGGCATAATGCATTTTTTATCCCTCCGTATTGGATGTCTTTCACAAAATTCATATATAGGCCTATTATTTAAGTTTTAAAAGTTCGATATATTAATAACGATTTTACAAGTAATTATGGTTTTCTTTTATGAATATTTTAGGTAAAAGAAATGCTTTCATTGTTATTTTACATCCATCTAATCATTTCTGTATTGCTTCTGTACTTCGGATACCTAATATACAAATCATATCAACGACGTTTACCATCCAAGAATAAAGCTGTATTTATTACAGGTAAGTTCCTATTTAATCGTTTCGTTTCTAGCAAGATTATAGTATATAACCACCCGATGTTACCTGCGGCTTCGCCCGCGCGGATTTTGCAATTTGATAGAAATAACCCTCTCTCGGTACTTCACTAAGATTCTCAATCATTAGTTATTACTAATTTGGTAAAATTACTGATTTTTGTTTGTTTCAAACTTGTTTCAAATGAAGCCGTTCTCAGGTTAAGCCTTAATCCTCTCCCCCCGCGGGGAATTTCGAAAAATCCCTTCTTACCCCCGTATTCACCAACACGAGTTAAACAGAGAGTTGACGAACTCGAGTTTAGATGTAACTCGAAGTCAGATTACGAGTTACTCTTCTTTCGTATTCAGATAAAAATTTAACTCTAGAGTTTCGCTACTCTAGAGTTAATATTTTAAAACAATCCTGAGTTCGAGATTAAACAAGTCTTCTTTCGTAAGCAGAGTTTTGATTGGTTGAAAGCAAACACGTGTATGAACCAGGGAGGAGACGAATAGAATAGAATAGAAACACGTGTAGAAAATGGCGGAAAGTGAAATGGAAAGCAGTGCACGCCGTAATTTTTCTAATTTTGAGAAGGAAATTCTACTTGAATTAGTCGAAAAATATAAATCGATCATTGAAAACAAGAAAACAAATGCGATTTCTTCCAAACAGAAGAGAGGCACATGGGAAGAACTAACAAAGGAATTCAATGGTATCCCGGGTGTCACCCTTAGAAAAACCAAACAGTTATTGGACTGTTATAAGAATTTAAAAAAGAAAGCCGTGAAAGAACAGGCACAAAAAAAACCGAATTATTTAAAACAGGAGGAGGAAACCAATTCGTTCTAATAGGTTTCTTACGCTCTCTTTTGGCAAACGATATCGACATAGAAAGTCGTAATCGTCCAATTGTTCGAGGTCATTTCTTCTTGGAGAAATAATCCGCCGACTTCTTCGTTCCATACGATCTATATAATCTAAATATTTCAGATTTTCTAGCATCTCGGCTTCGTCTTCGTCGAATGTCGCCATTTTTCTCTGAAATAGACCGCTTTGCGCAGGCGTCAAACCTAGAGTTATCGTCTACTCGCCGATTTTCTAGAGTTAGAGTTAGAGTTAGGGTTATTGTGTTTGACTCGAGATTCGGAGTTGGTGAATACCAATTTACCAGTAACTCGAGAGTTAACCCTAACTCTAACTCTAACTCGTGTTGGTGAATACGGGGGTTAGGGTGCGACTATGCAGACGCGAGCGAGCGAGAAGAGGAGAGACGCGATAAATATCAAACCCTGTCAGATATGTGCGAGAACCACAAATTCGTTCTCGCCAGCGATATTTCTCGCTTCTCGCTTGTGCATGGTCTTTCTTTGAGAGAACTATATCGCTCGCTACTAACTCGCACCCTTAGTGTCCACAGGGCGAAAATTTTTAAAAAGAAAGGAAAGTATGGCAATCAGTCAAAAATGACCTCCTCCCCAAGATTTTTACATTTTTGGACTCAAATGACCTTGAAACGTCAAGAAATGAAAAAAAAATTCGTGGATTTTCCGCTATGTATTAATGTGTGAGAGGGACACGATTTTGTTCACCCTGTTTGTGGCTTAATAACTCTTGTGCTTTATGTCGAAAATTTCTAAAATTTTGCACGGCGGTTTGTTTATTAGGAGGATTAATAGTACTGTATTAAATTTAGGTAGTTAAAGGTTGAGGGGATGAGAAGATAAACAGGAGTCGTATGTCGTATCTCGTGTAGAACCGGACTTAATGACGATTTTACTCGTTATTAGCATTTACAATTTTTATTTTATAAAATTCATCCCTGTCCTCAAAATTAAGCTTTTTGCCATTTTGTAATAATTAAAAATATAAAAATTTTTTAATGAAATGCCGTAACAGTTGGCGCAACCAAAGTTTCAACTGTTGCCGGTAAAGCTAAGTAAATTGTTACTTAATTTTTTTAAATTTTAACCCATTTTATTTATTTTTACTCATTTTATTTTATTTAACCCATAAAATTAACCCATTTTACATTTCTAGATTCTTCGTCTAAATTAATAGAAAATGGCAAAGCTTTATCAAAATTGGCTCATTAAATTTGAGATCGAACTCGATTCTTATAAGCCCATACAATACATGCTAATAACCGTGAAACATCGCAAGACAAAGCCACGCGATTTGTACGATATCACTTTGTCGCGCGCGCTCGTGAAACGACTTTATATCTCGAAAATAAAGTCATGGACCTTATTTTTTGATTACATTTTTGGATTTCTCGTCGTAATTAATGTAAAATGACAAAGTTTAATCAAAATCGATAGAATAGATTTTGAGAACGAACACAATTTTTTAAGCCACATAGGAGAGGTTTCGCTAACGCTCTGCCTCGATTATTTAAATTTTCTATGATTCAATATTTATAAAAATTTAAATACCAAATGTATATACTTTATATAAAACTCAATAAAAGTAATTGATCAAATTATTGTTTATTCATCATACAAAGAGCAATTTAATAGATTTTGCGTTTTGGGGGAAATGAAAAGCTAAAAAGGATTATCGATAACGCTACCTAACACAGGCAAATTTTGAAGGGAGATGTTATCTGGGAGTAACTTTTTACAGGAAGCTGGTTCATTTTTAGGTTTTAAACACTTTACGTTGGTACGTTGGTACTCTTTCTTTTCTTTTCTTTTTTTTTTTAATAAAAATTGTATGTTTTTAACTATTCTTGTACGGAAACGAGCCATAAACTGTCAACATATCAATATATTTCCGCTATTTACATTGAACAATTGTATACCGTTTGTCAGTACAGAACCACATATTTTGATATAAAAAGAAATATATTAATTAGGATATATTTATTACTAGGATGCGATACTGGATTTGGACATCTTTTTGCTCAACGTATGGCAGAAAGGAACTATCGTGTATTTGCGGGTTGTCTCTTTCCAGAAGGTGACGGAGCCAATAAATTAAAAGCATTTTCTTCAAAGATCGAAGTCATTCCACTCGACGTCACAAACGAACAAAGTGTAAAAGAAGCGGCCAAAGCTGTGGAAATCAGTCTTAGAGATGATGGTAACTACAGAACAATTTATATACATTAAATCTAGTTTTGTGATATTGTTGTAATGAATATTATAAAAATTTAGCCAATTATTTATATAAAATATCTTTTTATTTGTCATAGATATTTTATGGGCAGTTGTTAATAATGCTGGACTCGGACATTCAAGTGAAATTGAATGGACTCCGATGGAAACAATTTTAAAACTTTTTAATGTTAATGTCTTTGGAATGGTTCGAGTGACTAAAGAATTTCTGCCACATCTACAAAAATCCGGAGGAAGAATTATCAATTTAACAAGCATAACAGGTAATATATTTAAATTATAACAATTCATTAATTGCTATTTTAAAAGTGTAAAATGAAATTAAAACGAAGAATAATCATTGTATAATAACGAGCTAATAATAATCGAAATTTAAATCGAGAGATGTTTATGTATTAATTTGTGATTTGAAATTTTTCTGTTTTTTTTTAATTATCTAAAAATTCAAAAACAAAGTATTTCAAATAGAAATATTAATCAATTTAGAGTAAAAATTATGGAAATTTTACAAACAATTTATTATATAGGCCTAACTGTGTTATGTATATAAATATAAAACATAGCAGGATTCTAATCTGAATATGACTCAACTCGGATCCTTCAGAACATCAAACTAATACCTTTAAGTAGTACCATCAAATTAGTAGTAATTTTAGTTAATTCATTATCACAGTGTTTTTCAACCTTTTTCATTGAATGGCACCTCTGATTGAAAAATAAAAAATCGTGACACCCTTGACCAACGGCAGGTTGGTCAAGGGTGTCACGATTTTTTATTTTTCAATCAGGGGTGCCACTCAATGAAAAAGGTTAAAAAACACTGCAGGATGTTATTTGTGAAGAAAACTGTCAAGCAGGTACAAATGTGTTTATGTATTTGTGGTTTAACTTAAGAAAAACTGAAAAATCTTGGAAAAAACTGTCCTAAAATATGCTTTATAATTATATAATATAATAAAANTTGAATTTTGTCGAAATACCTACATGTAAAATAATAGTCTCGCTATTGTTTTTTAAATATAGTTTTATTATCAAATATATCATCATTTTATATTATCATTTTATTGATAAACAATTTTTGTTAAGTTTTTTATACTATTTTGATGCATATAAAAAATAAATATTTCATTACTTTTTTCTTATTTTTTTCATATCAATTTAAAAAATTTAAATTAAAAAAATGATAAAAAATTGTTTATTTGTCATCATTGCTTTTGAATACTGTGAAAATACTGTAATATGCACCTACTTTGTGATTGAAACCACACACTTTTCAAAATACAATGCAACGCTTTTTAAAGTATATACAAGACACACGTGTCCACGTCGTTCTTCTCTGCTTGTTGGCCTGGTACTGGGACTGGGAATGTAAAGGCTAAGCAATGTAGTTTGGGCGAACTCGTAACAAGTCGTGCGTACACGTAGCGTAGAACATTAACATGCGATTAGTCATCGTTTCTTTGCTTACTAGATATCTCGTAGAAAAATAGAACTGACAATGAGTTATCTTGAACTACACTTAAGTAAATTTCCAAGAAAATGTCTAAAGGGCCTAAACTTTGCGACACCCCGGTTGAAAAACACTGCATTATCAGATTTTTAGCCTTTATTTAATTATTAAAATTATAAATGAACTTAATAAAATTTAAATTAAATGATTTAATATATATTTAAGGTTTAATTCTAAAACATTTGTTTAGATTTCAGGAAAATTACTGAAATTAAACTTATAACAAAAATTAAATAATATATGGAAGTTGACGGAAAAAGATAAATTATTATTATTATATTCATCGTGATTAAACCTAAAAAATTATAATTGAATATAATGTTTATCAATCAGTTCAATAGTATATAGCCTATTAGTAAAAATATTAATACATATAGATGATATATAATTTAATAATTTAATTTATTATAACGCAGACATACAATTTTCAAACTTATTCTTACTTTTTAGGTATTAGAAGAATACCTTCAGTAGTATGTTACAGTATGAGTAAATCGGCAGCTTCAAGTTTTTCGGATGGAATTCGTTTGGAAATGAAAAAATGGAATATTAAAGTTATAAATATACAACCTTATTATTATAGGTAACATAGAAGTCTCAGTTTCAGCGTTTAATTCATTTAATCACGTAATTTTTTAAATGAAATTCTGTTTTCTTTAAAAATAGAATTTCATTGTAAAAGATTTTGTTGAGCAAAAAGCAAATCACTAATCTGAATGGTACAATAAATAACACTAGTTATTGTAACTATTCACCAATCAGCCGGAGAAATCACACAGAGATGGGTGATTACTCCGAGTGAAAACAAACGAGCCGGAGTAATCACCCATCTCTGTGTGATTTCTCCAGCTGCATCAATAAGTGTGTGATACGTCCTCCATAGAGCCAACACTCAGCGCTCACATATTCAATTATTAAACCATCTTAAAAAAAAGTTATTTTTCTGTACATTTGACAAATACATAGGGCACATTACAGAATCTCATTAATTAGCCTATAAAGTAACCAATTAAATAAGTATTTTTTTAAATTGATGTCTTCAATTTTTATTAGTTTTTTATTGTACTTTTACTCAAATTATTTTATGGGAAATTGAAAATATATGGAACTCTATTCGTAAAGGTTCTCTATTCGTAAAGGTTGATTCTATTTCGGATCATACAGTAGGTGTAAGCCTCCATGCCATTTGTCAAAACAGTACTGTGTGTCATTTTTTTTGTGATGTCTTTAAGGATTCTGGCCGCTGCAGCTTTCACTTTACCTCCCCTCGGTCATTCCTTGTCAGCGAATATTGATCAAGGAGGACATAATACACTCTTTCCACTTCCTTGTTAGAAACGAAAGAAATGTTGGGGATGCAGATTCCAATAAGCAGCTGAGTAGAAGTCGGAGCGTTGAGTCGTTAAAGACATACATACACATATGGAAGACATCGGCCGTACGTAAGGTGTTTAGCCGGCGGAAAAGGGGGAGGAAGGACGGGGGGATAGACAGTAGAGAAAGGTAGGATTCCTCTGAACGGAGTACATAAGGATACAATACTCTCTATGTTTGTATGTTTGATGTTGGCGTTCAGTTTTTTGGCTGTAAAGACGTAGTCCCCCGAAAGGTCTAAAAGAAAACCTGAGTGTAGCGAACACCAATAATTGAGTGCCGCCACGAATAGCTAAGTGTAGAAGTTAGTGCCAAGTGGCTGTTAGTAGAAAAGCTTATATCTACGTAGTACTAATAAACTAAACGTGAGCGCGAATCTTAATACTATTAACAGCTGGACAGACAGTGTGAAAACAAACGATCACAATGACAAACTAAACAAGACGAACGGACCGACAACAGATAAACGAGCAAGACTCCAAATGAGTTTTTATTTTTTTTAAAACATTGACGTTAAAGACATAATGAAAAATAACTTTCAGAACTTTTGAAAAAAGTATAAATCCTAGCAGAAGTGCATAGACACAGAAAAGTTTACGTTGAAGATTGTGTGGTGTAAAAATTTCTGTGTCATACAATAACCTGTAGTAATGTGTACCAAAAATTCGGTTTATTTTCGATTTTACTATATATAGGTCTACTTACTATATATAGGTACTTAGGCCTATACACAATAGATCATATGATACGTTTCAACCTTTGTGCATTGTGGGCAAATAAGTTTTACAACAGGCTTAAATTAATCAGGATATGTGAAAAATAAAGGCATTTGGCACAATAGAATGTTTTCTGGAAATCATTGTTTTTTATAGAAATTATTATCCAATAATAAATCTTACTTAACACTTGAATGTACAGTACCTAAAAAAGTATCTTAACTGCGAAAATTTGAATTTGACAATGGTTAATTTATTTAAAATTAATGCAATTTTATCAAACAAAAATGAACGAAGTAGCGAATCGTAGCAAAATAAAATATTTAATTTTTATTAGAAGATATAATAAAATATCTAATATTTTCATTAAAACGAAAAGATTATCACTCATTAAGAAATATGCTTTTTGAGATTTAAAAGTGATGATTAAATATTTACAATTATTATCTATGTTAATAAATCCCCGTTGATCTCACTGTCATGAAACCTTTGACTAGACGAAAACTTACAGAAAAATGAAATGATACAATTGAAAGAGAACTTTGAGTAAGTTACCAGAAAAATCAAAATTCCCAAAAGTAAATAATTTTTGCTCTGCAAGATATTAAAGTTTAACCTACATCGCCTATAAAACAAAATGGCATCTGAATGATGCTGTTAAACACAATCTTCCAATTTTCAATGAAGTTTGTTATTATGAATTTCTTTCATATTATTTTAAATGACTGTTTTCTTTTTATATCATCGTGTTTTATTAATATTTTTAATTTATTAAAAAATTTTAAATTATTTACAGCAAAAAAATTATACTAAACTATTAAAATGCAAAATGGCGTGAAACTCATTGTTCCATTGCCGTTGATGATCGTATTCTGAGTGCAATTTTCATACTTTTAGCTTTTGTTACATTCTTTTAGTTTACATAATTTATCTGCATTTCAAATTCATATTATATATACAATATTATGTATTTATGTATTAAATTCTTATAATTTTTCGTCTGTTTACAGCACTCATCTAACCAATAGTGATAACATAACATCGAATATTGATCAATGTTGGAAGAATACTGATTCAAAATATACTTCTGTTCTCGGAAATGAATATTTAAAAAATTATACCAAAAACATCTGTCGAATGGCCAATTTGTTGAATTCCAGGAAAGTGGAAGATGTGATTTTGTGTTTAGAAGATGCAGTCACTTCGCCATTTCCAAAATTATATTATCGACCGGGAAATCTTCTCAACAAGATTTTCATAGATATACCTAATCTACTTCCTCCTTCCGCACAGGATTTTATTCAGAATTTATTTGTTTATTCTAAAATCCCTAATTATATTGAAAAGTTTTTAAATAGATGAAATTTTCTTGACATGAAAAATATTAAAATAATAATGAGACTTTCTTCAATAAATTTAATTGGATTACAATTTGAAAAAATTATAAAATCCCGCTGTCACCCGTCCTCCTAATCTCGAGAAAGGAGTCAGATATATGAAAGATAAGACCAGATATGAAAACCTTAAGAGCAAGAGGCCCGGATTAACTATAGACGAACGTCCGATTTCGATCGGAAGGCACGTGATTTCAATTCAAAAATTTTCCATAAAATTTGTTAGATGACCGGCACGACTCTATTGTTAAGAGTATGATGTACAGCGGCAAGACACTACTAGTTTGAGCTGGAGAGCATATATTTTAAATTAAATGATCTAAAAATATGATTAAAAATTGCAGCCCGGAATTGTGATGAAATCACAATAAATAATTGTTTATTTTTTTACATTATATTAGTGAAAAATCTATATACAACTTTATGATACTTTAATGTAATAATTATTTTAAATTAGAAAAACGACTAAAAATTTTAAAAATGACTTCCTATATGCTACCCATGAATATTATGAAGAATATAAGTAGCCTACACGATGTTTTCTTTTTTTAAATGCAATGAAATATGACAAATAATTTCTGTTTTAATGTTATTACATTATTTCTTAAGAGATAAAAAGTGAAGCCAAGCTTACTTAAGTAACTTTTTATGTAAATGTAAATGATACTATTCCCCGCCTTCAGTATATGCATGCTTTACAGAGGCGGACTAAGGCTAAAGCGGGCCCTAGGCAACATTGTAATTCCGGGCCTATTTTTAAAATTAAAAAATTAAAAACCTAATTTTTGGGGCCCCAAAAATTACGGGCCCTAGGCACGTGCCTAGGTTGCCTAGGCCTTAGTCCGCCCCTGATGCTTTAGCTACTTAATATGATTGGAAAAATGATTAATCTGATCATCATTCTTATAATTTTAGTAACTGTAAGTACTGTAAATGTACTTAATATTGTCTACAGAAAAAATAATTTTCCAATGAGAAAACAGCCAAATTTTTTATTCCCTATATAAGTTAAATATCGTCTTTGATTACAGTTATTTCGGGATACGTTTTTAAAATAAATGTACATACAAATTTTGATATAATTAATGACAATGAACCATTAAATTCTTATAATGAACTTTTAATGTTTATAAATCAGAAATATGAAGTTTTAGTTTGTCGCCATTGCATGTATTAAACGTAGCCTACGAAATATAGACTATATCTTGTAGGCTACGGTATTAAATTATCGTACATTGAAAAAGAATAATATACTTTGAAAATGTTCCTAATGTTTATATTTCTATTAGAATTTTATTGGCATTACGCATGATAGAGGAGTTCTATGGAATAACATGCCTAAGTTAAATACCAATGTTTTTCAGAAATTCTCAAATAACTGTTCTTTTTGCATGAGGTTTGTTATGAAGTGAGTAAAGTTTAAATGGTATTCATATCATAAAATCCTTATTAATATGCCTAATAAAACATTTAACTGAAAAGATATTTAAGTGCATTTAGGTATCTTTTAATCATAGAACTTCTCAACTATCGCTAGCAGTAAGCGTTTATTCTCGACATTACACTTAGAAACTAACTGTTCGGCAATGTGATAAAAGATTTTGTATTTTTATACTTATTTAGTGAGAAAATAAAATTTTGATTGTAAGAATTTTCTACTGAATAAAATATTGATGTAATAAAATTGTCTAAAACAGCTCTTTCTTTCTAATGTGAATTCACACATAGATTATGAATCGATTCCTTCCTCTCTATCGTCGACTCACTACTAAAAATTGCCGCTGTAGCTTCATGGAGTCCTGGATAATTTGAATTAGGGAGGCTCATGAGTACATGATAAAAATGCTTGATGTCAACACTTCTCATATAGTGTTGCCATCAGCATTTTTCTTCGGGGAAATTCCCCTGTATCCTCTTGGATTCAACACTGCCCCATGCAAAAACAAAACAAAAGAACAAGTTTAGTTAAAATTTCATTAAAAACAAAACAGAATTGGTTATATGACATAAACAATTAAATATAATCCACAAGAAAAAATTACACGTAATGAATTTTTCGGTAAATAAAATTTCACTTAGTTGAATTAATATCTACAGTACTGTATACAGTATTTTTAAAATTATGTCTACACTCTCACTGTCATGAAACCTTTGACTAGACGAAAACTTACAGAAAAATGAAATGATACAATTGAAAGAGAACTTTGAGTAAGTTACCAGAAAAATCAAAATTCCCAAAAGTAAATAATTTTTGCTCTGCAAGATATTAAAGTTTAACCTACATCGCCTATAAAACAAAATGGCATCTGAATGATGCTGTTAAACACAATCTTCCAATTTTCAATGAAGTTTGTTATTATGAATTTCTTTCATATTATTTTAAATGACTGTTTTCTTTTTATATCATCGTGTTTTATTAATATTTTTAATTTATTAAAAAATTTTAAATTATTTACAGCAAAAAAATTATACTAAACTATTAAAATGCAAAATGGCGTGAAACTCATTGTTCCATTGCCGTTGATGATCGTATTCTGAGTGCAATTTTCATACTTTTAGCTTTTGTTACATTCTTTTAGTTTACATAATTTATCTGCATTTCAAATTCATATTATATATACAATATTATGTATTTATGTATTAAATTCTTATAATTTTTCGTCTGTTTACAGCACTCATCTAACCAATAGTGATAACATAACATCGAATATTGATCAATGTTGGAAGAATACTGATTCAAAATATACTTCTGTTCTCGGAAATGAATATTTAAAAAATTATACCAAAAACATCTGTCGAATGGCCAATTTGTTGAATTCCAGGAAAGTGGAAGATGTGATTTTGTGTTTAGAAGATGCAGTCACTTCGCCATTTCCAAAATTATATTATCGACCGGGAAATCTTCTCAACAAGATTTTCATAGATATACCTAATCTACTTCCTCCTTCCGCACAGGATTTTATTCAGAATTTATTTGTTTATTCTAAAATCCCTAATTATATTGAAAAGTTTTTAAATAGATGAAATTTTCTTGACATGAAAAATATTAAAATAATAATGAGACTTTCTTCAATAAATTTAATTGGATTACAATTTGAAAAAATTATAAAATCCCGCTGTCACCCGTCCTCCTAATCTCGAGAAAGGAGTCAGATATATGAAAGATAAGACCAGATATGAAAACCTTAAGAGCAAGAGGCCCGGATTAACTATAGACGAACGTCCGATTTCGATCGGAAGGCACGTGATTTCAATTCAAAAATTTTCCATAAAATTTGTTAGATGACCGGCACGACTCTATTGTTAAGAGTATGATGTACAGCGGCAAGACACTACTNGCCGATACCGGTCAATGTCAAATGCCTCTTTTGTCGCATCACTAGTAGGCTATATCTCAAAGGACGTGACAAGGCTGTTGTAGATTTTAAACGTTTCTCACCATAGCTGTAAAAATCTAAATATGTTAAACTTAAAAGTCATTTGTTTTCTAACTAATTTCTTTTAGGACCAAGTGTCCTCAGAAATTTCCAAAATTTACAACTTTTCGGTCTCTCATTGAACTGGAAAAAGTTGTCTTTATTACATCTAATATTACGAAGAAATCAGGCCCCACTGTACTCGGATAGAGATTGGTTCGGTTAAGCTTCTGTTTAAGTAAAATTTCGGCTTTTTCAGCGAGGTTTTATTTATGTCCCTAATTCCCTAATCGCTTAATTATTTAACTACTTCTTAAGTAGAAATAAGTCGAAACCGGTTACTTTGTACTCGAATATTTGTAGTCTTGGGAAAAAAGTGGAAAGACAAATTTTTACGACACGGATACATAAATCGTAAATTTAAGGAAAATAAATTCTAGAGCTTTTTCTGTACTTCGTGCATCTCTCTCATTCATTAAATTTAGTTGTAAATGACGCTGTCAAAGCAATGGTTAATTTTTTAACATTATACAAGAATTGTACACGTTTTTTTCTATATCCCCTTAGAGATGAGATATAAGAAATCGTAATATCAATGGTTTAAAATTGAAATCCGTAAGTAATATAAAATGAGAAAGAGGAATAAAAATATCAAATATTTTAATGGATTTTTTAAACTCCTGTCAACTATACAGAACTATCGTAAAAACATACTGGTAAATTCTTATCGGTTGGTTTAAGTTATAAATCTATTCGTGATTCACGTAATCGGGCGAGGGCGGCCAAATATCTAGCGGGCAGGCGGCTAACAGCACAGAACCGGTCCCGGATACAATTGGATGCGGTATACGTGTAGCATCCATCCAAGGTCGTAGGCTTCCAACTGATAAACCGGGTGAGGTTGGTGTTCTGTAAAGCGTATGCGCGAATCTGGGTTTTTAGATGCTGACAATGCAGCGCGTCCACTCCGCCACTAATATTCGAATATACAATAGCAATCTTATCTTTTTTTCAGATGTGGTATAGAAATTTGTAATAGGATACATAATGTCACGTTTGAAACAATCAATAACGTCACAACTTGACAAATCGAAAATAGCAATATCAGTTTTTATGGACCTTTCAAAGGCATTTGATAGCTTAAATCATGAACTTTTGTATCAAAAATTGCAAACCTCTTAGAGCTGTCTAAGAGGGACAGCTCTAAGCTGGTTAAAATCATACTTGTCAAACAGAATTTACTTTGTAAAAATTGGACAGATTATCTCTAGCTCTTTCAGGCCAAACAAGGGCGTTCCTCAAGGTTCAATTCTGGGTCCACTGCTTTTCAATATATATATTAATGATTTGTTTAACTATATACCAAAAGAGAATATACTGATGTACGCTGACGATCTAGAGATAACTTATTCTCATACGAACGTTATAATTCTTCAGGAGAATTTAAATCACATTTTAAAAATTTTAAATAGTTATATGGAAAACAATGGATTAGTAATAAACGAAAATAAAACTAAATTCCTCCGCTTTGCAAATAGGAATAAAATAATCAATCCACATCACCTAAAAATTAAAATAACTGATTATAACATAGAAAAAGTAAATGCTATTAAGTTTTTGGGAGTAACTTTTGATGACAATCTGCGCTGGAATAAACATATAGATGATGTTGCACTTTCCCTGGCAAAGTATACTGGGATAAATAAGAAAATTCAAGCTTTTTTAAGTACATCATTCTCGAAACGGCTGTACCACACTTGCATTGAATCTAGAATAAGATATGGTATCGCTGTATGGGAAACCGCATCTCTATACGCTGTTAATAAACTTCAAATGGCACAAAATCGTTACATGCGTTCAATTTATAATTTAAACTTTATGGAATCATTATCTGAACTCTACCGCACCGATAATATTGACAAGATTAGTGAAATTTACAAGAAACAGATTACAGTCGATCCCCTATAACACTGTTGATAATTCCGTTTTATATGAATTCCATGTTGTACGAGTCACTTAGATTTTAGAAATACGTGTGCCGGGCTGTGAACGGCTCACGTATTTAAAAGGAATTTGGAGATAAAGAGCCTTGTTGGTTCTTTCTCTCCAAAATACGCCGCCTGGTGGTTAGATGAAGCGGCCCGTGCGTTTTTATTTCGAGAATATGGACGCATGTGTCGGATTAGCCGGCCTTATAGATGGAATGGCCATACGCGCGCGGAAAAATAATGTCTTTTAAGGGAAACTGGCCCCTATTCAGGAGTTACAGACATGAAGTAAACCCGGAAAACTCCACGTGGCCAGCCCGTCCGATCGAAGCGCGAACCCACGACCAAACTCCCAGTGTTCAGGGACGAAGACCGATTGGCCACGGCTTCTATTTACTAGGAACCTGCGCTGTAGATTTTGAGAAAGCTGTCTCCTGGTGATACATGTAAAACTTTCATCTGTAAATATTTTTTAATTTAAAAAATGATATAATCTCCATCGGACGAAAATTTACAGATTAATATTTAATATTTATTAAAACTAAGTAGGTAGTTAATTAAAACTAAAAGTAATAATTAAATTCAAAAATAAATATATAATAATTAAAACTTTGGCCTTTGCACCAAAACTAAAACTAAAATTAAAAATAAAATCAAAATTAATTTGTTTATTTAAATTTAATTTTAAATCAAATCAATTAAAGCATAATATTTAGGAAAATGTGAATAAAGTACTTGTCCGTCTCGCTTGATTTTGTTATATTTCATCCAGGCAGAGTTGACTCACTTCTTTCTAAAGTATTAGTTTCGGTTGGCGGCGACGAAACATTTTACTTCTTTTATATACTGTATATAGAACAGATATAGATAATATTTGTAACCACCAAAAATATCCGGCAAGTGTTTCGGATAAATAACATAATATTGCATTTTTATGCAGTTTTATGCATGAATTACAGCTTAAAAGGTAAAAAAAAAAAAGCTTTGTTTTGGAGTCAGGAACGAATTAGTCGATTTTATATTGTTTCTTATGAAAAAATTTGTTTCGGTTTTCGAACAACTCTTAGGAACGAATTACGTTCGAAAACCGAGGTTTGACTATTTTCAAGATAATTTTTAAACATAGGTTGATTGAGTTGTTATAACGGAATTCCTACAGTGATAAATGCTTCAGAAGTTTTATAGGATAATAACAAGGAAACCAGAGAAGATTAACGGTCTGTCCCGGAAACTACAGTACTGTACATGTGCTTCACTCTCAAGCAGACGACACCGAGCTGACAAGAACAACTGAGATCCAGAAAAGGTAAGCAAATGCAAAATTATTACTCTTAGGTAATTTATTTATGAAAAAATTTTCACTTAACTTTTTTTATTATAAATTTAGCCAAAGATTTTAAAATTTAAATAAGAGTCCTATGAATTTTTTGTGGTAATAAATGCACAAAATGGGAAAAAATCTTTATTAAGGGGAAAAACTAAAAAGTGACGATTCGCAAAGTCTGATTGATCAACTTGACAAAAACATTATGTCAAATTTAAAATTAAGCGTTATTTTAAATTACTTAAACGAACGTAAAGTATCTTTATGGTACAAGTCAACTAATTGTGCCAACATTATTATTATTAAAACAGCAGATATTTTTTGTCAGTTTATTCAACAATGTAAACAAATTTTCCAAATGGAGTTTCAAAAAAACATGCAATTGTAACAATTGTAACAAATTGTACATTTTACTATGTTTACAACATAGTAAAATGTATTTCTGAAACGATTCTGATCCCTACTACATGCGCCACGGCTTCTATTTACCGTGGAAGCATTTAAAAGATTATTGTCGATTCCTTTATTTGTAAGAACACGTGTTTACTATACAATCAAGTTTCTATATCAAGATTTAAGAGTTGGAAAAAGATAAGCAAAATTCATCATCTGTAACCATCTGTCCGTAAATAAGTTCTATTTTGAATACATGAATTTACCTAATGCAGCAAAGCAGAAATCTTCCTTAAAGCAAGTGCATTTTTTTCTGGAGTTTATGATAAAATTTAAAAATTAGTTCCTTTAAAACTACAAAACTCTTTTAAATTCTATAACTGATATCTTATATCTTATATACATGAATATTGTGCTACATAAAACAATGTCAAATATTTACAAATGAAAAATTGGATTCAAAACTAAGCAAAGGATTTTGTCTGGACGAGTGGTAAGCGAGCGCAGGCTTCTGAGATGACTTTTGTGGTTTCGTGTCTGAATTTAAAAAACTTCTCACGTTAGATTTTGATGATTTTGGTGTCAAAATATTCAATAGAACCCTGGCATAATCATAAATTATTTTCTAAAAAATATAATTAACTCAGATAAAATATAATCAAAAAATGTTTAATCTTTGACGCTTAATAACAAAGAGTTATTTTGACATTTTGGGGTGCTGTTTTTTGAAATATAAAGCCAGACAGTTGCTTCATATTTTTGCAGAAATTGGGGAATTTCGGATGAACTATGGAAAAGTTATTCGAATTCAACAAACAAAGTTCTTTGAACCCGACACCCAAAAATATCAAAATACCTCTGTTATTAAGCATCAAAGATTAAGCGTTTTATGATTATATCTTATCTGAGAGTTAATTATATTTTCCAATAAATATTTTTTTATTACATTTTTCTTTTTTATCTGTACTTTTCATCATATATTTTATCAACAATAAATCGCTTATAATCTTTCATTTGTGACATATTACTGCTCAAACTGCTTGCCAGGCAAACTACAACGATAAACATTATTTTCAGTTTCTCGATTAACTTACTTAACTCCTTGATCTCCGATCAATTTTTGATATTAATGTAATTAAACGTAAAAAATACTTAAAACTGAAAAAAACGAAAGAAATGCGTTAATTTTGAAGAAAAAGCTTCAAACTTTATTTTCCATTGTCTCGCCTTTCTGAGAAATTTGACACCGATGAATCATTGTGTTACAGCTGGATGACAGAAGAGTCTGTAGAACAAGGAGGACAGTGTTGGATTTCCCGAGACATTATCGGGAGGCAAAGGGTAGGGCGAATACTAGCTGGCTGTATATTTTTAAATATTTTTAAAAAATTAAAATTTTTATTAAAATTTTCGACCCCCGACTTAATTAAACTTATATATAAAATATATTAATTAAAAAAATTTAAAAAACTATTGGAGGTCGTTTTTGACATCAGAAAGTAGCTTTAAATAACTTTACCGAAGTAAAATCCGTGCACTATAACTTAAAACGATGAATGAAATTTGATATCAAAATCTCATTAAAAACAATTAAGTGTTAATCGCGGGTCATTAAAGGTTGATTAAAATCGCGATAACTAGTAAATAATGTTTATAATTCAACAATTAAATCTGTAGTATTTGTTGAATGTAAAAAAAATTAAAGAAAATGTATAACCAGCATTTAATATTTAATTTGATTCTGATGAAACCGTGTAGTAGTTTACCTTGCTTTTTTACAGACACACTACAGTTACATTATTCAACACTTGGCAGATTATTCACCACTTTATTTAGTTGGACCAACTGAATAAAATGGTGAATAATCTGCCAAGTGTTGAATAATGTCACCGTAGTGTGTCTGTAAAAAAGCATTAATATTTAATGTTAAAATTATGAATTAAAACGATATCTCAATTTAAAAGCAATTGCATAACTAATATAAATACTATAGTACTAATATAGATACTATGTAAAAGCACATGCAATTGCTTTTAATTTAATATTAATTAATGCATCTATCATATATAGTTATCTATTTTTTATTTTCCTGAATTAATTGAACACTTCTCAAGGTTATGGACAACACTAAAAACCAGAATACACACTGATTATAAGCCTGTACTTGTTTTTCAATGTCAGTCTATTTCCACTACGTAGCAGGCACACTTGACGATTTAGTATTGAATATATAGATAACATCAGAGATAGAGACCAGCCGAAATATAAAGTGATTCTGCCAGTATATGTGCTCCTCTTTAGTTCTTAGAAGTGCCGCTAAGCTAAGTTCTTTTTTTAACTTCCTGTTTTACGATGTAAGTAGATAAATATCAATTAATCA